CAAGGCAATGGAAAGTTTGTCTTCGCTTTTTTTATAATGCCTCAATAAAACTTCATTTCCCCCTTTTTGTAAAGGAAATGTATACAATGAGACCATTTACTTTTGATACAAGGTCACAATCACTTTTAGCCATTGGATGTCAAATCCAATAGATGAAAGTGTTGCAACATTTCAAACCCAATTTCAAATCTAACAATCTATGGTGATTGTGTTCTCCTTGTACTAAAAATAAAAAGGGCAAATATGTCCATATCCCTTATTTTTAGGGTTTTATTTCTTGATAAACACAATGTTTCAAAAGACATCTTCTAACCCCTTAGCCACTTTAAACCTATTTTTTAGTTTAAACAAATGTGAAAAAGATATGCTCTTTTTAAACCCAATCCTTTCTCTTTTCACTTATATACCCCAAATTTATTTCGTTCTCTCTTCCTGGATCTTACTCCCTTTCTTCTCGTGTTTCTTTATGAAATCCAACATAATCCTTTCTCTCTCTTCACTTATATACCCCAAACTTCTTTCTTTCTTTTTTTTTTCTCTTCTTGCATCTCACTCTCTCCTCATGTGTTTTCCCGAACCCCTCTCTCTCTCACCTCTGTGAAATCCATGAAAATCCTCTGCATAACACCAATTCAAACAAGAACTTTTTTTGGGAAAATATCTCGATAATTCCTCTATACAAATCAAGGTCAAAGTAGCCCAAATCCCCAATAAAATACTCTCCCTCTTCTATAATTTCTCTCTCCAAACCTCTTTGTCAACCAACACCATCAAGAGCCTCATTCTTTCTTCAGCAAAATAATGGCAAAAAATGGCCAAAAAAAAAAACAAAAATGGGTCAAAACCAGGCAATGGAGTACGAAGATTTGCTTCCTATCATGGCCGAAAAGCTTGAAGCTGATGCTTTCAAGGTGGAGCTCAATGGGTCAAGCTTTTGGCCGACCCATCGAAGGGTTTGATAACATTTGAGAGCTTGAAGAAAAATTCTGGTCTTTTGGGTTTAGATTATCTCAGTGATTAAGAACTCGTGGCCATGGTTAGAGAGGGAGACAAGGACGGTGATGGAGCTTTGAATGAGCAAGACATTTGCGTTTGAATAGTGAGATTAAGTGCAAATCTCATGAGAGACGTTCTGGGTTTACTTGAAGAAGCTCTGAGATCCATAAGATTTAGGGAGTTATGGAGAGCTAACTGGGTTTATGCGGGAGTAGCTTTTTCAGCGCTCTCTTGTTTCTCTTTTTATCTGTTGTTCTCTTTCTCTCTCTGTATACTGTGTATTTGGGAGGAGAGAGAGTGAGGGGAGAGATTGGAAACGTGAAAAGAGGGTGTGGGAGGAGAGAGTAAGGGGAGAGATGGGAAAGACAGAGAGAAGGGGTGCGGGGAGAGAGAAGTTTGGGAAGATGGTTTTTAGAAAAGGCACGTCTTTTTAAAAATCTATAATTTTTATGTCCCAAGTTATCTTTTAAAATCTTGGGTCTATTGTGAAATGAAATTTAAAAATAGGGGACATGTCCAATAGTATATTCCTTTTCGAAATTTGCCCTTCTCTTGGTTCTCCCAAGGACCTGTACTTCGAAGGGATTAGTTCTGGGATTAGTTCTGATTCCTGATGTGTCTTCTTGCCCTTGTGCATACAGGTTCAGGAAAGGTTTGAGGTGGATATAAAGGAGCTGCCAGAGCAAATCGACACTTCAACTTACAGTATGTGCTTTTATATTGATTATCTTTCATTATTTGGGTTCCTTGATTTCTCCAGGGGTGTGCATTTCTCTCTCCCTCTCGTGCGCATACTCTCTTGTGCACATACACAATTACAGTTTTCAGTGATGATTACTTGGATATTTTTTTCATGAAAAAAGATTACTTGGATATTTTAAGTTGAAAGATGTGTTGTGATGAGGTTAAATGATGTGATGGTCCGTCCTTTGTTTGATGTTACAGTGCCATCGTAATGCCCATGGGTGATAAATCTCTCGAGGATTCTTGGAGCCTGGCTTACAAAAAAACCTTTACATGGGGCTAGCAGATGCTTCTGTATTTATGTGGCAACACGTTCCGTAGAGTTCTTTTGTAACTTGGCCTTTGTTTGCCTATATTAGATTCTCATGGCTCCTAAATTCTCTGATTCACCATATCTTGCATATGTTTTAGATGCTTAGAAATGACGATATGGACTTGAAATGGCAGTTCTTCAACCAATCGCACAGGTTGGGTAGCATTTTGCTTTATTTTTTGAAGTTGGGCTGTTGTATTTTTTATTTCGTTCTCCTTTTGCGTGGTTGGCCCGTCTATTGCTTTGTCACGTCTTAAATGTGATTTACGTCTTAAATGTGATTTTCCATGAATCGTGCCATTTTACAATTTCATGGTTGTATCCTTTATTAGGCCTCTCATCGAGGACTACTTTCTTGGAGTGTGCATTTGGGGTCTTGAGGGGATAAACCATTTGAATGCCTAATGTTCTTGAAGTTTGGTTAAGAAAATTGTATTCGAGTACCCATTTTTGAGCTTATAATCATAGTCATGGTGTGTGCCGAGAACGTTGGTTTCAAGTAAATGCAAAAAGTGTACGTTCCTCAATTGAGTCTTGATTAAATAACTAGTATCGCAAATTTTAAACCTGAATTTGCGTAAAAAGCATCCGTCCCTCAATTGAGGCTATGTTGAGGTGGGGGTTCCTTTGCTATTGTGTACCAATAAAGTAGGGGATTGAGGTCCGGTTTGCTTTTTTAGGATTCTGAGGTAATCATAGGACAACTATTTTGAGCGTGTAAATTATACTTTTCCCTTCTGGGTGTAAATTATACTTTTCCCTTCAGGGCATGGTATGCTTTTAATTCCTCTGCAATCTGAAATTTGGGGATGACTTGAGAATCACTGGATTAGTCTCATGAAAAAAATTGATAAATTTTGAGTTCTACAACCCTTAAATTTTACCAACTAAAAATTGGGTTGGTAATTGTGCTGATTCTTTAGTTGGCAAGGGTGGTCACCTATTTTAACAAATAAACTTCCGTGACCATGTCTCTCTATACAAGCGGTACCCCTTGTTGACCCAGATGGTACTTTCGCTTATTCTAGCTCATTTTGTAAATGTACGGTAAGTCTGCATACTCCGGGTGCACGTTTCTTTAGCACGTGATTATTACTATTTCTTGTTTTGTTTTTTTCCCTCTGTTACTGATTTTATTAATAATAAAAAATTATGTCCAAGGATTATATCATTTTTCCCTATAAACATGATGGAAAAAGATAGCCGTCGGTTCTGCCATATTTAGGATTTGAATCCACAACAATTTCAGTCTGCCATATTTAGGATTTGAATCCACAACAATTTCAGCTACTGAGGCAGTTATTGTTCTATATTGTACCATTTGATAACCTTCAAAGAACTCTCATGAAAATTAAATTTAAAGCCTCTCGTCAAAGGTGAAACCCAAATGGTTATTGGTCTACAATACGCACCTGAAACAAGTCCGATACTCCCCAACCCAGCACCCCATGATGGCTTAACAATGTTAGGGTCCAAATTTGAGCAACTTGTGGAATGGATTAGCACCACTGATCACGGAATAATAATCTATAAACAAATTTGATCGAAAATTGTCCATCACTTTTTACATCCCAAATAACTTCTTCCAAACAAATCAGGATATAAACTTGATCCAAATCCTTCAATAGTGCACTAAACTGAGAATATTGGGCATCGTTTAGTCTATTACAAGGGAAATTTAACCAAACCACTTGATTTCCCTGAGTCTCATGGACTTCAGCGACCTTCTTTAGCACGTTATTAAAATTAAGAAGAAGTCTATATAAGGCTGAGGCCCTAAACAATCAAATTAAGGCACACCTCAATGATGGATAGCTTCTTTTCTTATTAAAAAAAAAAAAAGTTTAAATTAGAATTAGTAAGACTTTGATTAGTGTACAACTTATACCATTTTAGGATTTTGCTTTAATTGATTAAAACTCTTGTCAGAGCTCTTGATCGCTATGAAATCCTACTTGCTGTGGCTCTCAGATTTTGCTTTCGCACTCCGTAATTGCTTGTAGACATTGTCGGTATTTGCTGTCATTGTTTTCCATTGATTTGAATACAAATGTTCCCTATTTACCTCTTATTTTGGTAGCCTTTAGCTTCAACAATCAGGTTCAGTTTAATTTTGCATTAAAGCATGTTGATCCCAGGTCTATTTGAAAGTGTGCTCGCTTGATTGTATGTATTGGATTGTGCTGGAAGGTTACAGAAACCATGGGTCTGTGGAGAATGAGAAAGAGAGTGGCAAGAAACTGTAGACAAGCTCTATCATCCATGTCATCAACTGATGAGAGTGGTGCTGGGATAGGTATTGCCTCCAATTGGTGAGTACAAACACTCTACCAACGCAAAACATTAATGGACACCCAATCAAGTTCTTGAATCATGGAACTGTTATAAAAGGGAAGAACTATGCAGTTGATACAGTGGTGGATGGAAAGAAGCACAAGTGGAAGATAGGCTCATGGGGGCTATTTTTTTTTTCAGCCTTCCTAAATTGCAGACAATGATTGCCAAGTTATTTTGGAATAATCAGGTATCCGACCAGTGTTTCTTTGCATCCCCTCCCAGTCCTACTTATTATTGCAACAACAAAATATTGAATCTATAATAAATTTACAATTAACCTTTGCTAACTCATGCCAATCTAAGTTATTTGCTTTTTAATATCAAAATATCACACCATTTTTTGAAGACCGATACAGGAAGCAGCTTATAAGTAGTCCGACTGCAAGAACTAATCATCATGGCAAGACTAAGCAGTGTTTTATATGATATAACACAGCACTAGACAGAGAAACATTGATTAAGAAATGGAAATCATGGGTGGTATTACTTGATCTTCAGCATAGTAAGGATCAACAATAAGCCGGCCACTAATTTCTTTTGCCTTAGGAGGAAAAAAATTTGGCATCGTAAAGATTTCCTGTAACTGGATCAACAATAAGTCGGCCACTAATTTCTTTTGTCTCAGGAGGAAAAAAATTTGGGATCGTAAAGATTTCCTGTAACCGGATCCACCCTCTGTTCAGCGCACCTCTTATAATAATGTGATCAGGAACCTGTGTGTAACAGAATATGATACTGCAACACATCAAGACCAGGATAAAAATTGAAACATGCTCAGGTACCATTACAATTGATGGGAAAACAACAGACACAAATGTCACGAAATATCATAGGATTAAAAATAAAAGATCGCCAAAGGTTACTTGAGTAGCCCTTTCAGTCATTTTTCAGACCATCTCATTGGAGATGGGATTCCCTATTCCATCCACAAATATTTGACATAATAAGAATAGTATTATAAATATTGACTCAGCTAAACATGAATATTGAAAATAACAATCACAATGCAGAAGCCAAAAATCTAAGCGTATCTGGACTGGAATTGGAAGTTGAATGTTTACTGAGCAAGAAGACTCTGAAAAATAAACTATAATAAAGATAGTAATTCTTTGGAGGATATCTCTCTCAGAACTATATACTTGAAAAGGTGTCATTAAGTTCTTAATACATACATGTTCATGGGTCTTCGAATAAATTTCTTCAGAGAGCTCTATTCACATCCATCGGAAATGGTAGAAACGAATTTATTTCAAATTCAACAAATATCTTTACTATCATGGTGAGAAACTCTTGAAGAACATTTAAAACTCATCTTTCCATAAAATCCGTACTACAATAAGATTGAAATTTCCGAATACTGAATAAATGACTAATTTCACAAGTTATTGTCCACTCTCACTAAGAAACTAAGAAGCAGAATTTTCTAAGAAACTAAGAAGCAGAATTTCAAATTGAGAAAGCATAACCCTATCCAACCATATACATGAATTCAAGTAGAAAGCCAACACCTCTAGCTTACCTATTTAAAGCATCCTCATCTTAAGCATGTATCATCATAACCAATATCTCTATGTCTTTTATGCAATTCATCTCTCAGTGCCTGGAATGCGAGAAGCAAAAGAAGTTTTCCAAATATAATGCATAAGCAGAATCCTGGCAATGTTAATCACAAAACAACAATGAGATGTAGATCCATGCTTCGTCAAAAGTTTGCTCATTAATTTGAGTCTATGACAACTTTTGACAGTACCAATATCATTTTTGACATTACCAATGTCATCAATCAATCTCCCAATAAGGATCAAAACAAAAACTAAATTGTATTGACTACAGAAGTTGCCATGTCCTCACCAGATAAAAAGTACAAAACAAGAAAATTTCATCAACCGATGTCTTTAGAGATCAGCAAACAACTCTTCCAAAAGATAGCGTAAGCTTTTGGAAAAACTCTTGTTCATAAGTCCAGGTGGTCCAATTTGAAGGGGAAGTTAGGCTACATAGTCCTCTGCCCTTTATAGAACACACTATTGCATTTTATGCCAGAGTTACTATAAAACTCAAGGGGTATTTTAAGCAATTGAATATTTATTATTTTCCAACGAAGTTATAATTTCATTGAATTTCTATTTCTATTAATTCAACTTTTTTCATTTCTATTTTATTTTATAAACTTAATTATTATAGTGAACTTATAATTAGATTTAACTAGACTTTTAAGTAATTATTTCAAGCTCCTCTTCTGTAAGAGCTGAGAAGTATCCTTGCCTCAATTTGGTACAGCTCTCGTGGCCCACATCGACTATTCTTCTAGGTTCCAAGCAGCACAATCGTCTTTCCCCATTTATCAATGCCAGAAATCATCCTTTAACACTTATGATTCCAAAGTCCAAACCTAATAATAACTGTTGCACTACTGTTCCTGTGAACTCAAAAAAAAGAAAAAAAAAGAAAAGAGAAGAAACAAGTGGCATCAGTTTCCATGTACATTACCTCATTGAAAACCAAATAAAACATACCTCTAGCATGATAAACAAGTCAGGATTAATCCGCATTAGGTCAAGAGTTAATGCTTCAGTGATTGTTTGTGGGTAGTCCTTTAAAAGGATAAAGAAAGCATTGATCACAAAGTTCTAAATGAAAAACACAAGTAAATAAATTTCGCAAATTTGCATAGGCATCGATTAGTGGTGAAAGGTGTGAAGTTACGAAAGCTGGGCAAAGAAACATTACTGTCCATCTTATCCTAAAACAGTTTAATAAACCAGCTAAATTTCCATTCATCAAACTCTCAAACTCTAACTAGTTCTAATAATTTTAAATATTGGAAATTACATCACATAGAGAAAAACACAAGGTAATACATATTCATAATATTTATCTATGGCTCTAATTATATTTACATAATTTTTTTAATATTCATTATAAAATAGATTTGCTTCAATTACACTA